GGCTGCACCGGTCGGTTCCAGGCGATCCCCGGCTTCTGACCGAAGAGGAAGGAGGCTCCCTTTCAAGAAGGGGGAGGATTTCTCGTGAGGAGTGGGGAGGGGGTGGGAGTGGGAGGACGGACTCCGGGCTGATTCGCATTCCCTGCTTCGTGGTGGGACCAAGTGTCAATGAGCCCCCCCTCCCTCCCAAACCGCTGGTATTTCCTGCCCCCTATCCCCTACCCCTTGCAGTCAGTATCGGGGTGTGAAGGGGGTGCGAGAGAAGGGCGCAGGGAGGGGTCTCCGCTTCCCTCCCGATGACTCCCCCATCTCTCTTCTCTCCCGCCATCCCCCCAGCGCATTTCCTGTACCAGCCGACCGCCGGGGGTTACTTCCAGTCCAACGGGAGCGAGGCCGGATCGGGGCCACCTTCTCCTCCTCCTCCGCGGGTGCGCTTCCTCGACCGCTACTTCTACGACCGGCAGGAGATCGTCCGCTTCGACAGCGACCGCGGGGAATACGAGGCCCTCACGACCCTCGGGGAGGACCAAGCCCGTTACTGGAACAGCCGGAGGGAGATCCTGGAGGACGCGCGGACGATGGTGGATGCCTTCTGCCGCCACAACTACGGTCTTGCGGAGAGCTTCGCCTCGGGGAGGAAGAGTAAGCGGGTGCCCGGCGGCGGGAGGGCAAGTGGGGCAGGAGGGAGCGTGAATGGGGCAGGGAGGGGGGGCGCCCCTCGTCCCCAGAGCTGTGGGGCTCGCGGGCAGCCCCCTCCGGACAAGGGAAGGGAAGGAAGATAAAGGAGCTCCTTTCTTACCACTGTGGACCGAACAGAAGTGATCTACTCACTTCTTATTTCTCTGTTCATGTATTTATTCAATATGAATTCCACCCATTGAGCAAAATGTGACTGTGGCCAGTGAACAACGAATTAAATTATAGTACAATAAATGGAATTAATGTAATTTAATTTAATCATCATACATGGTATTCTGATGCCATGTATCAATGTTTGCCACGGTATTATTCTCTCTTTTGTCTGGAGCGATGGGCCTGTCCACGAAAACTCACCTTCAAAGGTAACAGTTGGTCTTTAAGGCACCTCCATGTTCTTGCCTTTTTTGTTTATTCTTTTTTTTTTAACCTGTAAGGCTTGGGCAGACTGACTCGACTACCTCTTCTACAATGAAATAAATATTCTTTATTACAATAGCAATTGTCTTAGAAGGGCAGAGCTGGGAGGGACCCTCTGGACCATCCAGTCCAGCCCCTCTCGAGGAGGCCGAGTGGGGGAATCGAACCCCCAACCTCTGGCTCCACAGCCGGAGAGACCTCAACCACCGAGCTGTCCAAGGGAGGTAGTGCATCACCCTAGACGTTGTGTTAAACGGAGAGGTGGTTTTATGTTGTGTGGGAGCCTGGAGAGCCCCAACCTTCTCCAAACACCCAGAGGGAGACACCTGGTCCTTCTGGAGGATATTCTCTCTCTCTCTCTCTCTCTCTCTCTCTCTCTCTCTCTCAAATCAGCCACTTTGATAAAGATTCCAGGGAAGGTTGCAATTATGAGCTTTACAGGCTTATAAACAGTTTAGGGCGTGGGGCGGATTGAAGAGGAGATTGGACAATTCAGTGTTTGAGGTC